CCCCGCACACGTCAAACCAACGACAAGAGGGAAAACAGAAATGTTGAAAATCTCTCACTAGGAATTACAGATGCAGAAAATGCAGTTTTTCTGTATCTGCAAATACAGTTGTGGTCATAGGTTTACATCCACTCATCAACCTACACAGGATCAAACATTACATATGGGCTCAAATATTTACACACACCCCCACTAATGTCTCTTTGCAACTTGCACCTCGACCAGCCATCAACAAGCTTCTGACATAATCCTGGCTGGATATTTGACCAGTCTTCTTTGCAGAATTGGTAAAATTCATTTAAATCTGTTGGTTTCGTGGCACAGACTCAGCTTCTAAGTGTTGTCCACAGAAGTTCAGCAGGGTTGAGGTCGGGGCTTTGGGAAGGTCATCCCAGAAGCTTAATGTTTGTCTACTGTATCTATTCCAAAACCAGTTTATCTGTGTGCCTGGGATCATTGTCCAGTTGGAACATTCAACTGGGTCCAAGTTTCAACTGTATGTTCAAACTTGGACAGAACTGGAGATTCTATTTTCAGGTTTTACCTCAAATCCTGATTTACCCCTGGTAGCAAAACAGCCCCAGAGTCAGAATCTACCAGCACTATGCTTGACAGCTAGCACAGGGCTCTTAGATTTCAAAGCCTCACCTTTACTCCTCCAAACATACCTGATTGTGGCTCAATCTTTGTCTCGTCTGGCAACGAAGCTTTTCTCCAGAAGACATTTGGATTGTCCATGTGGGCAGCTGCAAATTTCAGATAAGCTTGAAGGTGCGGATTTTTGACCAGATGCTTTTATCTTGGTCGGCACCCTTTCAGTCCATGGCAATGTGAAACTCGTTTCACTGTGGACAGTGATGCTGGTGTGTGAGCACTGGTTGTTCCTGGATTGTTCCTAAACATCCTGACCACTTTTCTCTCATTTGAGGTTGACAGTTTGGGTCTTTTTCCAGACCTTAGCAAAGTGCTGACACATCCAAATAACTCACACTTATGCACAGTATTTGGTATCTGTACATAAGTGTCTTGTATTGTTCAAACCTGTGAGTGCTATCAAACAAATCCTTTTCATGATGGCAAAGGGAAACTACCAGTTATAGTCAGTCACTAATAGCTTTCTCAAGCTTTATAGAATTTTCACTTATTAAAAGAATTAATTGAGTATATTTATATATTTGCACATGTATGTTTACTACTGACTGTGTGTTTTAGATGTTTTAGATAAAATCCAAAATAAATTCAAACTTGTGCAGTAAGTCTACCCTGGAAAAGCAGTTCAAAGAAATCATTAAAATTCCAGAATTACCAGGATATTCACGCCCATGATGAGTGGATCTAAACATTTGATAACAACTGTATGCATATAAGATTTTCCCCAGTTTAACCCATTTATCTTACATATGAAGTGACACCACAAGTGGCTTTCTTTCTCCCCCAGCTTCAGTAATGCCCCCTGCTCCTTCCGAGAAGACGCTTTGCTCTGGCTCGGATTTCTCTTCCAAAGCCGTTCTGTGTCTGATTGAGGCCGTCGGGCGTCGCTGGGGTCTCTATGAGACTCGGGAACGCTCGCAGCTCTTCCAGAGTGTCCAAGAGGAGATGGCCTCCAAGGGGCACATACTGCCTGTTGAGAAAATCCGTCGCAAGTGGAACAACCTCATTGTGACATACAAGAGGGTTAAAGACCGCAGCTGGGAGACGGGACATGCTAAGACGTCTTGGGAGTTCTTTGATGTGAGTCTAACGGGAAGACAAACCTGGGGATAAAAAATAGTTGCTGACATTAAGTACTGATTTAAGTAAACCTCACAGCTGGACATACTTGCTATGAAATTTTTTAGCCCTCTTTCTTTTCTCCTTTTCCTTTTTCAAGTGCTTTAGCACTATAGAGTGAGACGCTTGAAATTTCCAGTTGTAGAAATGTGAATTTCCCCTCAGGACAAATGTAACTGACCTCAAACGCAGCCACCAATAATCATCATCCACTCAGAGTTTAACAGCTGCACTCTGCATCTGTGGATAATGTGTGTGTGTGTGTGTGTGTGTGTGTGTGTGTGTGTGTGTGTGTGTGTGTGTGTGTGTGTGTGTGTGTGTGTGTCTATATATATATATAAAAATTGTGCAGAAAGAAGAAACGGCTGCTTTATATATTTTGGAAGGTGTGGTCGATGTAGAGTACAGGCCTAGTCTATCTTACAAAATTCAAAACTCAGGGTTACTGGCTAGAAATCAGAAGCATTCTTCTGCTGTTGGCGATATACCACCAGCTATAACATTATAACCACTTGCCTAATATTGTGTTTTTCCCCTTTTGCTGCCAAAACATCCCTGACCATGGGCTCCACTAGACCTCTCAGACCAGGGCACCTTCTGGTCTGTGGCCACGCAGCCCCATATGCAACAAATTGTGATGCACTGTGTATTCTGACACCTTTCTATCAGAATTAGTATTAACTTTTTTTTGCAATTGGAGCTACAGTAGCTCATCTGTTGGATCAGACCACATGGGCCCAGCTTTCGTTCCCGGCCTGATCAGTCCCCCTTGGCTGCCCATGACCCTGTCACCCCCAAATCCTTACTCTTCTTGTACAGGGATGTTTAATCTGAACAACTGTGAGGAAGTACAGCAGAAATAACTAGGATTATAACATAAAGTAACAAGGTTTAAGACAGCATACGGTTACATTGTTAACTGGTATTTGTAAGACATGGATTACAATGCTGTTTGATGTATTCATTGGTGTACTTTCTCCATATCTTTGTGTGTGTCTTGTTCCACTCTAGTTGATGGACGCCACCCTCTGCGACACCATTGGCACTCAGATCGTCAACAACAAACGAAACAAAGGCGGCAGCACGGTTTCTACACTGCCTGCTCCTTTGGCTAAGATCGCTGCAAAGCCCCTGCAGCTTCCACAGCTGACGTCCACCATCATCCGTCCTAGCAGTGACTTTGCTGCTGGTGCTGGTGCTGGTGGTGTGGACTCAGTAGGTCTGGGCTCCAGTGCTGGCACCGCTGCCAGTACGTCGGTGACTGCAGCGACCATTAGCTCAGCTAATGCCCCAGACCACAAGCCCCTGATTGTCCTCAATGGTGACATTGTTACTACCAGTATTCACCCAGCCACCATTGTGCCGGCTCCTTCTTTTATCACCTCGCCTTGTTTTACAGAAACAGCCACCACATCCCCTTCCCTCATCTCCGCCAGTAACACAGACCTCAACACACTGGGCTACACGAGCCGCAAAGCTCCATCCATCTCATCAGGTGTCATCCCTTTTCGCCTGAGTACAACATCGCTCACCCAAAGCCAGAATCTCCTCGGCCTCTCCTCTTCATTCCACCTCACGTCCTCCTGCCTCACTTCCTCTGCTGCCACCTCTTTGTCTACATCAACTGTGTCTGGAACTGAAGGACAGAACCAGAAGGCGAAAGCGGAGCAAGGCGGCTCCACTCTGTTCCAGGAGATTCTGAAGCGACAGGAGGAGCAGGCCTACCTCGATCGAGTGGCTCGCCGCAGGGTTGAAGCCAGAGAGAAGAGACGCGAGAGGAGGGAGGTGCGAATGTCCGAGTCCCTAGGAAGGATAGCCACGGCCCTGGAGCTGCTCTCCTCCAAACAGGACACAGTCATCGCCCTCCTACAGAGGCTGGCTGATCGGAAATAATCTACAGTGAAAGCCTGGAAAGTAGAATCTCCTGACCTTGTTTTTTTCCCACCTGAGATCCTCCTTATGAAGCTCTCATGCACTATAACGCTACTTTAATGAGCATAATTTAATATAAATGTGAATTTGACGAACTCTTAACTAAATAACAGACAAGCGCAAAGGTGAGTCATTGTTCCGTGCTTTTAAATTGTTGTACTTTGTAAATATGTTAGTTTGCTTCACTAACATCAAATAAAAAGATTCTTTGGATATGCACCATAAAGCTGTGGTCATTTGAACACTTTGTCCCCAGATTGCAAGAATAAAACACAGATTAACTACTAAAAAGTTGCAATAAACTTTCAACCATTAAAATATTATCAAGGCTAAGAAAATCCCCCAAAATTTATTTAATAAAGAATCTTTAATCACAAAAAGGTTTTAGCTTCATGAATGAATAAATGACTGAGAGCCAGGCTTTGGATTATTTTGGATAACGAGTATAATGTTCAGATAAGTATTACTGTTAAAACTACAATATTTCATTGAAGTGTAGCTGAAAAATGAACCATTTACTTGATGTACTCTCAAAATACTACATAGGTCCAGTGTTTGAGTAAGTGTAGCTGATTAATTTTCATTGCTGAAAGTAAATACGCACATTTTAAAATACTTTCATTTTACATTTTGTTAAAGGGGTGAATTTATCGAAGCTTTATCCCTGATCAGGACGTTTTATGAAGCATTAAAGTATACTGACCACTAGATGGCGCGCTGAGACCGTTCATTGTATTGCTTCTCAAACTTTTAAAGCGCAATTGTCTTAACACACTTTAGGCGGTTCGTGTGTTAACACACGTGTGTTTTAGTGATATAAAAATCGCAGTATCCTTAAATGTAATAGTTTAATTGTTTCCTCGTTGCATTGCTTCTCAGCCTCACCATAAAATACCAACGAATCAAAGTCTACTTCTCAGTCAAAATGAAAGTAATGATATTCTATTTGAAATCATAACTTTATTCCACATTAAGCTGTTATGCAAGAAATCATCAACCCCTTACACCATAAAGGTGTGTCCCATCCAGTGACTCTCTATAAGATGCAGGTAGAGTGCCAAGTTCAGAGGTTTATTTAAAACATTTGAAATAGTCTTGGCTCGAAACAGGTAGAAAAAATAATAATGTCCTGCAGAGCGGCCGATTGTCGCTGCTGACCTAATTATTCAGCGTATGTGGACTTGACTGTAACTTGGTGGATGCGGTATTCTCGTAGTGCAGCCAGTATGTGACTTGGCTGTAGAGCCCCACCCTCAGTTTAAAACAGAAAGCACCGAGGAAGTTGTGATGAAAGAAGCTTCACCTAACAGACTTTGAGTTTTGAATTTTGGTGATACTTCTGTCTTCGTCCACCATGAGCACTCAGGCCGCTGACAGCATACCTGGTCCAGCAGAAAGTGAGCAGGAGCAGGGTCAGTATGAAATATGGAAATGCTGCTGAGTTAAAAGTTTTTAGTTTAATGTTTTTCTGTTTAGTTTTTTGTATGTTTTTTTGCCCCTGTGGGTGTCGTTGGACGGCGTTTCCTTCTTACTGTCACAGCGTGCTCTTAATCACGTGTCTTCCTTTGTTCAACTGACACATGTAGAAAGAAAAAGAGAGCAGTGTGCGTCATAGTGGTGCCTTAGCTGAGCTGTTGGCTACTGCAGTTTATCGGGCTTATTTCAGATGTTTGAAGATTGAAGCCATTCTCTAAAATATAAGCTTCCAATGTGGGGAAACAAAACCACAGAACTTTTATAATGTTTTTTACAGTACTTTCATAAAAAAAAAAAAAAACAAGATTGCAGTGACTATTTTTATCTGCCTTCTTCCTGTAAGTGTGTGTGTGTGTGTGTGTGTGTGTGTGTGTGTGTGTGTGTGTGTGTGTGTGTGTTTAACTAACACACAAACACTGAGTTAGCAAACAGTGATTTTGAGAAGTGCACTTTTAGCCTCTAATGTTGATGCAATGTTCATTTAATGTCTGCATCTCGTTTCTCGTGCTCCTTATTCCCACCTATCTGCTCGTTAGAGTCTTTGTATCTTTATAATAAAGGCTTCTCTTTACTTTTGTCTGTGTTGTCTGCCGCTGTGTTCTGCTTTTACTGCTTTTACCTCTTCTCATCTCACTCTACATCACAGCTAAACCAATCACTGATTGCAAATCTAACTGTACATCACAAAACCAAGAGACTCTTCATTTCCAAGGGTGGAATGATTGTACATCTTTAATGACCTAAAAACAAACAAAGAGTTAGGTGTACAAGTCTGATTTTCTTTGGGATTTTCTCCAATCCACACAGGGTGAAAAGTGTACATATCTTTGGAATAAAGGCGTCTTTTTACTTTTGCCTGCCTCTGTGTCCTGCTTATATACCTAAATATTTGGCCCTGTGTGAAAAGTATACATAGAAACTGAAATATATACATACACTCAGTGGTATTTGGTTAAATGACTCTGAGCAAGTTGCACTTCAATCAGAGACTTTTAGTCACCAACAACAAGACTGTGCTTAAAACCCAGTTCTTTGCCAACAAACCAAATAAATTTAATAACCAGCTCTGAAAAGAAGAGCGGTCAAACATTCAGCCGGAATACTTATTGATACTTGTTGATGACAACCAAAAGTTTCTGGTTGAGGTGCAACTTGTTAAGAAAAGATTAGCAGGCATGTACCTTTATATTTGACCCTGTATGTAAACTTTTGACCCTGTGCAGATTCAAGAAAATCCAAACGAAATTCAACTTTAAATATGTATGCTGTACAATCATTTCAGCTTGGAGAAAGAACAATTAAAAAAACAGTTAAATGCCCCCAAATTACCATGATATTCATGCCCACGATGAGTGAATATAAACTTCTAATCACAGCTGTAAATAAGAGTTCTCTTTATGCCTTTTATATGAGAGGATAGGGCACGAACGTACAGCTGGTTGTTATATATAACTAAAAATTTTCAATCTCTCACATTTTGCAACATATTTACCTTGATAGTTTTAGGTCACTTTTTGAGTCTCTTTTCTATTCTCTAAATGAACTTTGACTTTCGCCCTCACGTCTCAGCTTGGCCACCTGGAGCCTGTTGTCTCTTGGATCTCTGCTCAGTAGCGAATCTGTTGCCAAAAAGCTACCAAGTTATGGAAAATAACCAGAAAAATATCAGTATAACATGACTGAAATTAGTAGTTAAATTTCGTAATAGCAATTTCTGCAGTAAAAGAATCATTAATGCCTGGATCATTTTGGTTAATCATACAAAATTCTATTTTTTGAAAACTATTTCAACAGGCATATAAAAACACAACAAACCACAAATGGTAACATGAGACAACATACAGTGTATTAATCTTTACTTTTTATTTTATTCATCAACAAATGCCAAAATGCTTTGCATTTGCCACAATGTAAGAACATAATAAAAAAGTTCATACTGTTTGTGCCCTGGGATGCAACAGTCTGGGCTAATATGTGAAAGCTACGAATTTCTACAAATAAACAATAATAATATCAGAAGTCAGAATGAAGGGCACAACGACTTTCATGAACTCTGAATAGTGTTTAAAAATGCTTTTTGTTGGGTTGACAGAGCCGTTGAGGATCATGCTTCTTGGAAAATGTGGTGTAGGCAAGAGCTCGAGTGGGAACACCATCCTCAATAAAATGGTGTTCTGTTCAGAGATGAAGCTGGCCAGCATCACTGTTCACTGTGAAAAAGAGTCCGCGGTGGTTGGAGATGTACCTGTTGATGTGATTGACACACCTGGGCTTTTCGAGAAGGGAAGCAACAAGGAGGACATCATCCGAGAGATTCTTCAACGCCTGAAACTCCAGGAACCAGGACCCCACGTCTTTGCATATGTTATTCCTTTAGGAAGGCTGACTCAGGAAGACCAAGACACCCACACGCTGATTGAAGCAAAGTTTGGCCCAAGAGTGTGGGACTACACCATCGTGCTGTTCACCCACGGGGATCGCCTGGAAGACAAAACAATAAACAACATCATTACTGAGAGTGACGAGAACCTCCGCAACTTCATACGCAAGTGTAGCGGTGGCTTCCACGTCTTCAACAACAAAACCCCGGAGGACCAGAAGCAGGTCACAACTTTTATGGAGAAGATCGAGACCCTGGTGGCCCTGAATGGAGGTAGTTACTACAAGACAGAGCTGTATCCTGAGAAGGAGAGGAAAATCAGAAAAAGACAGGAAAGCATCCTTGCAGAGAGAGATGAAGAAATCAGCAAAAAGGAGGGAAATCTGAGGGAGCATTACAAGGATGAAGAGCTAAAGAAGATGAAGACAAAGCTGTGGAGAAAAGAGGAGGAAAGGGCAAGAAAAGATGCAGAGAGGGAGTTGTACAGCAAGTCCTACCTCATGAAGAGCATCCTGTTACTGGCTGTATTGTGTCTACTGTTATGTTGCAATCTTGGGGTAGCAGCTAAATGGCTTTGTGTTATAGGAATCATTTTGATTGTGGTGTCTTTTAAGATTTTTCCAATTATTCCAGGAAAAATACCAGGTCTTTCTAAGAAAAAGAAATAGATGAGCTTTTACTGTGTTAGTGATTTATCATTCAAATGTGTGACAGATGATATATCGAAGTGATTTAATTAACAAAAATAATTTTCATACATATTTGTCTGTCCATAGTTAGAAAATATAGTCATCTGATATCATCTCATTGATCTCATATTTAATCAGATAACAGAACTGTAAAAATGCTAATGAAAACAATATTTAAAGTACTACACAAAAGTCTCGGCCGACCACTTTTTCTTTATATTTTACTAGGAAAAAAAGTAAATGCAAGGATATGCGGACATATACATGGAAATACAATACAGAGTTTTAAAATCAATATTTGGTACGACCACCTTTTTTCTTTGACACAGTCTGAACTCTCTTATGCAGCTTTGTTCTCATTTCTTTAAGTAGTCTTCAGGAATAGTTCTGCAGGCTTCTTGAAGAATGTTTAAAGCTGTCTTTGGACGTTGACCGCTTTTTGTTCTGCTCTTTGTGAAGATGATCTCACACTGCTTCAACAATGTTGAGGTCCAGACTCTAGGGAGGTGAGTCCATGACTGATAGTGTTTTATTGGGCTTTTCTATCCGGGTATGCTTTTTCTGGCTATACTTTTATTCAAGTAATGGCTGAATATAAACTTACAGTGTGCACAAGTGCTCAATAAGTCCCACAGCATATGCCAAACTCATCCCATGAGCATGTCTGGAGTCACTGCAGCCACTACGTGTTTCTTTAGGTGAATGATTGTGGAATTAAAGCATTTTGAAATTGGATGCTGGTCTGGAGGTGGGCATATTAAGCACTTGTCAACATTGTAAATTTTGTGTATATAACTTTACATTTGCATTTTAAAATTTACTGGAAGCTTCTATTCAATTCAATTCAATTTTATTTATATAGCGCCAAATCACAACATAAGGCGCTTCATAGATACAGAGAAAAACCCAACAATCATATGACCCCCTATGAGCAAGCACTTTGGCGACAGTGGGAAGGAAAAACTCCCTTTTAACAGGAAGAAACCTCCGGCAGAACCAGGCTCAGGGAGGGGCGGGGCCATCTGCTGCGACCGGTTGGGGTGAGAGAAGGAAGACAGGATAAAGACATGCTGTGGAAGAGAGACAGAGGTTAATAACAGATATGATTCAATGCAGAGAGGTCTGTTAATACATAGTGAGCCAGAAAGGTGACTGGAAAGGAAAAACTCAATGCATCATGGGAATCCCCCGGCAGCCTATGTGTTTTGCTGCATAACTAAGGGAGGATTCAGGGTCACCTGGTCCAGCCCTAACTATATGCTTTAGCAAAAAGGAAAGTTTTAAGCCTAATCTTGAAAGTAGAGATAGTGTCTGTCTCCCGAATCCAAACTGGAAGCTGGTTCCACAGAAGAGGGGCCTGAAAACTGAAGGCTCTGCCTCCCATTCTACTTTTAAATACTCTAGGAACAACAAGTAGGCCTGCAGAGCGAGAGCGAAGTGCTCTAATAGGGTGATATGGTACTACAAGGTCATTAAGATCAGATGGGGCCTGATTATTTAAGACCTTGTATGTGAGGAGCAGGATTTTGAATTCAATTCTGGATTTAACAGGAAGCCAATGAAGGGAAGCCAAAACAGGAGAAATATGATCTCTCTCTTTCTAGTCCCTGTCAGGACTCTTGCTGCAGTCATTAAAATATTATCAAGGCTAAGAAAATCCCCCAAAATTTATTTAATAAAGAATCTTAAATGACAACAAGGTTTTATCTTCATAAGCAGGGCTCTGAATCATCCCTGTTACTTTTCATTTTTAGGTTTTAACAGGAAATCCTCATGAGTGACCTAACAGATAATCTCAGGTTCCATGTAGGCTTGTAGGATATTAACTGTATGTGTCTTAAAAGCAAATGTTATGATCACAGAGTCAACCCTAAAATAAAGTACAAGCCAATAAGATTAGTTGCATCCTGTTAATGTTTGTTGAGGATTTGGAGACAAAATTCATTTATCCAATTCAATTTTATTTTATTTATATAATGCCAAATCACAACAACAGTCGCCTCAAGGTGCTTTATTTATTCATTAATGAATGAAAAAATGACTGCCACCAAGGCATCATTTGATCTTTGGATAATGATTATACCTTTCAGACAAATGTTGCAGTTAAAAATACAATATCTCATTGAAATGTAGCTGAAAAATTAACCATTAACTTGATGTTCTCTCAAAATACTACATAGGTCCGGTGTAAGTGTAGTTGATTACTTTTCATTGCTGAAAGTAAATACGCACATTTTAAAATACTTTCATTTTACATTTTGTTAAAGGGGTGAATTTATCGAAGCTTTATCCCTGATCAGGACGTTTTATGAAGCATTAAAGTATACTGACCACTAGATGGCGCGCTGAGACCGTTCATTGTATTGCTTCTCAAACTTTTAAAGCGCAATTGTCTTAACACACTTTAGGCGGTTCGTGTGTTAACACACGTGTGTTTTAGTGATATAAAAATCGCAGTATCCTTAAATGTAATAGTTTAATTGTTTCCTCGTTGCATTGCTTCTCAGCCTCACCATAAAATACCAACGAATCAAAGTCTACTTCTCAGTCAAAATGAAAGTAATGATATTCTATTTGAAATCATAACTTTATTCCACATTAAGCTGTTATGCAAGAAGTCATCAGATCTTTGATCCCTTGCACAATAAAAGTGTGTCCCATCCAGTGATAAGACGCGGGTAGAGTGCCAAGTTCAGAGGTTTATTTAAAACAGGCTGGGTGGAAATACTCTTGGCTCGAAACAGGTAGAAAAATAACATCTATGAACATAGGACTGCGGCCGATTGTCGCTGCTGACCTAATTATTCAGCGTATGTGGACTGGACTTTAACTTGGTGGATGCGGGGCACCCAGCAGGTCACGTGACTGTAGAGCCCCACCCTCAGTTTAAAACAGAAAGCACCGAGGAAGCTGTGTAAAAAAAAAGTTTCACCGAACAGACTTGCTTTGAGATTCAATCAGGACTGTCAGGCCAGCGAGGACAAGTTAACCGACGTCTACAGTTTTGGTGATACTTCTGTCTTCGTCCACCATGAGCACTCAGGCCGCTGACAGCATACCCTGTCCAGCAGAAAGTGAGCAGGAGCGGGGTCAGTATGAAATATGGAAATGCTGCTGAGTTAAAAGTTTTTAGTTTAATGTTTTTATTCTATTTTTTGTATGTCTGTATGTATTTTTCCCCTGTGGGTGTAGTTGGTGTAGTTACAGCATGTTCTTAAGCACGTGTCTACCCTTGTTCAGCTGACACATGTAGAAAGAAAAAGAGAGCAGTGTGAGTCATACTGGTGCTTTAGCTGAGCTGTTGGCTACTGCAGTTTATAGGGCTTGTTTCAGATGTTTGAAGATGGAAGCCAATATATACAATATGACATTACAATGGGGAGAAAACAAAACCAGATAATATAATTAATATGATATGTTAATTTTTTTTACAGTACTTTAATAAAAATAAAATTCCAAAATGGCAGTGACTCTTTTTATCTGCTTTCTTCCTGTAAGTGTGTGTGTGTTTAATTAACACACCTACACCAAGTTAGCCAACAGTGATTTTGAGATGTGTAATTAAGCTACAGTACTGTTAGCCTCTAATGTTCATTTAATGTCTCCATCTCACTCTCGTGCTCCTTATTCCCACTTTTGTAGAGGTCACCTAAGGTCATTCAGCCCCTTTCTTTACTGGTGGTCTAACCTGTGAAAAGGTTGTGAAACATAATATCACTATTGGATATTGTTTATCATTATCACACTCTTAAAAGTAAAAAACTAGGTTAACACATATTAGTTAAAATAAAGTATGCATTCTGTCAGAGAAAAAAATTATTTGCTGGAGTAATATAATGTTATGAAACATTGATAGTTAGTGATCCGCAGCCTTTTCATTTGAGCTAAAAACACTTCATTTAATTATAGGCTATTTATAAACAGAATACCTTTAACCCACACAAGATGATGCAACAGACCTTAAGACCTTCATTAAGGGCCTGCATAGAAACATTTCCAATGTTTTGGAAATTTTCATCACATGAATGGTTGACCTCTGATGACCTCTAGAAGCCTTTATTAATATATTTAAAATGATAGTGGCACAAAAGAAAATTTTTGCAGCGCAAACGTTTGACACCATTCTTGTGGCATTTGAAGAAGGTGGGATGGGCGTTTTTGAGCAAGTTGCATCTCAATCATAGACTTTCAGTCTCCAACAACAGGACTAAGCTTAAAACCCGGTTCTTTGCCAACAAAGCAAATAATTTTGATAAACTGTACCAGTTCTGCAAAGAAGAACGGTTAAACATTATGTCACACGCTTGTTGATGACAACCAAAAGTTTCTGGTTGAGGTGCAACTTGCTAACAAAATATTAGTAGGCATCTATTTTCTGAAAAAGTAAGATAAGAAAAAAATATTTCAAAAGGCATATAAAAACAAAACAAGCCACAAATGCTAACATGAGACAACATACAGTGTATTACTTTACTTTTTATTTTATTCATCAACAAATGCCAAAATGCTTTGCATTTGCCACAATGTAAAAACATAATAAAAAAGTTCATACTGTTTGTGCCCTGGGATGCAACAGTCTGGGCTAATATGTGAAAGCCACGAATTTCTACAAATAAACAATAATAATATCAGAAGTCAGAATGAAGGGCACAACGACTTTCATGAACTCTGAATAGTGTTTAAAAATGCTTTTTGTTGGGTTGACAGAGCCGTTGAGGATCATGCTTCTTGGAAAATGTGGTGTAGGCAAGAGCTCGAGTGGGAACACCATCCTCAATAAAATGGTGTTCTGTTCAGAGATGAAGCTGGCCAGCATCACTGTTCACTGTGAAAAAGAGTCCGCGGTGGTTGGAGATGTACCTGTTGATGTGATTGACACACCTGGGCTTTTCGAGAAGGGAAGCAACAAGGAGGACATCATCCGAGAGATTCTTCAACGCCTGAAACTCCAGGAACCAGGACCCCACGTCTTTGCATATGTTATTCCTTTAGGAAGGCTGACTCAGGAAGACCAAGACACCCACACGCTGATTGAAGCAAAGTTTGGCCCAAGAGTGTGGGACTACACCATCGTGCTGTTCACCCACGGGGATCGCCTGGAAGACAAAACAATAAACAGCATCATTACTGAGAGTGACGAGAACCTCCGCAACTTCATACGCAAGTGTAGCGGTGGCTTCCACGTCTTCAACAACAAAACCCCGGAGGACCAGAAGCAGGTCACAACTTTTATGGAGAAGATCGAGACCCTGGTGGCCCTGAATGGAGGTAGTTACTACAAGACAGAGCTGTATCCTGAGAAGGAGAGGAAAATCAGAAAAAGACAGGAAAGCATCCTTGCAGAGAGAGATGAAGAAATCAGCAAAAAGGAGGGAAATCTGAGGGAGCATTACAAGGATGAAGAGCTAAAGAAGATGAAGACAAAGCTGTGGAGAAAAGAGGAGGAAAGGGCAAGAAAAGATGCAGAGAGGGAGTTGTACAGCATGTCCTACCTCATGAAGATCATCCTGTTACTGGCTGTATTGTGTCTACTGTTATGTTGCAATCTTGGGGTGTCTTTGAAGAAAAAGAAATAGATGAGCTTTTACTGTGTTAGTGATTTATCATTCAAATGTGTGACAGATGATATATCGAAGTGATTTAATTAACAAAAATAATTTTCATACAAATTTTTCTGTCCATAGTTAGAAAATATAGTCATCTGATATCATCTCATTGATCTCATATTTAATCAGATAACAGAACTGTAAAAATGCTAATGAAAACAATATTTAAAGTACTACACAAAAGTCTCGGCCGACCACTTTTTCTTTATATTTTACTAGGAAAAAAAGTAAATGCAAGGATATGCGGACATATACATGGAAATACAATACAGAGTTTTAAAATCAATATTTGGTACGACCACCTTTTTTCTTCGACACAGTCTGAACTCTCTTATGCAGCTTTGTTCTCATTTCTTTAAGTAGTCTTCAGGAATAGTTCTGCAGGCTTCTTGAAGAATGTTTAAAGCTGTCTTTGGATGCTGACCGCTTTTTGTTCTGCTCTTTGTGAAGATGATCTCACACTGCTTCAATGAAGTTGAGGTCCAGACTCTGGGGAGCTCGGTCCATGACTGATAATGTTTTATTGTGTTTTTCTATCCGGGTATGCTTTTTCTTGAATAACAGTGTGTTTGGGATCATTGTCATGTCATAAAATGAAGCACTGATTGACACATTGACACATGATGGATCAAATCTGATGGTACTTTTCTGTGTTCAAATTTCAAATGATTTAACTCAGGAGTTTCACTTTTGGATTCATTCATATGACCAGTTGCCACTGATTTTCCATTTGTCCAGTTCTTGTGTAATTTGGCATACCTCAGTCTTTTTTAGATTTTTTTCCTTCTTTAAAAATGACATCTTGACAGCCATCTTTTCTACCGAGACCATTCCTGATGTGGTTTCAGTGAACAGTAGATCTCTCAGGTCGTGTGTCCAGCTTGGAGCTGAAAATATATATATATATTGCTTGTAGCATAGCTGAGCCACTGTGTGAGAGCTGAGCAGCGAAAGGAAATTAAGTGAGGAGCCGGCTCTCGCTCAATAGGAGTCGACTCTTCTGATTCACTACAAAGCACTCTGTAAGCACGGCTCTTAGAGGTGATGCTTTTGTGCATGACACATTATCGAACGTTATGTTGTGTGTCATGGATACTGTTGACTCCAATTCTCCCAACCACTTTGTCGAGCTGAGACAGCAAGACCGAGACAGCGAGACCAAGACAAGACCGAGGGATCCTAGCCCAAGACAAGACCAAGACCAAAGTCCGTCGAGACAAGACAAGAACAAGACCACGTGGTCTAGAGACCAAGACCGGTCTCGAGACATCCAACTCTAGTACCGAGCATCCTCTAGTGTTAACGTGATAGCGTTCCATAATGTAAAAGTGAAAACGTACAGGCTCTGAAATGTACTCAAAGTATGAAAGTAAAAATAATCTCCTTAAAGCACAATTCAACTAATCACATTTGTACAAGGGTAACTGAACCATGGTATATTATATTAATCTAAGAATAAAATACGGTTAGTACATGATAATAAAACATTTTCGGATTTAATTCTAATGGATGTGCTTTAAATGCAGTGAAAAAGAATTTTAAAAAATAACTATTTTCTGTTCTGATTGTGGGTGAAAGTAAAATGAGTACAGTCAAGGTTTAAAGTGAAACTCAGTAGGTGAGTCTGTGTAGCGGCTCAGCATAGGTGAAAGAACCACACAATCATTTCTAATCAGCACACTGTACTGCCACAGTTTTTTAATAGTTTTTCTACTATAAAACTTGTAAAACTCAGCTTCTGTTTGTTTTCTTAGAAGAGGCAATGATGCATATAAATAGTTTTTAAGTGTTTTTGTGGATATTTTGTTAATTCCATTTACATATAGGAGAATTTCACCTACTTCACTGAAGAGGTGTGCCATCCTGCCTAGACATCTTGCCCCTCCTTTACTATTACTATTAAATAAATTAACTCCTAAATAACTAAAAGGCAAGATTTATGAAGTTATCATGAGCTAATTCCGACCGGTCACAACAGTTCATTTTACATAACTGCTATCACTTCCAGACGTTTCTTTTCTAAATAAACAGAATAGCTCTTGGCCACTTTACTAGAAAACATAGATTTACCAATTACAGACACTCACCTGTTACACACTCAAATGTCCTTAGTTATTTATTATGCTAACATTAATGTTAGCCTGCTTTAAGTAGAGAAAGGTCAATTAACATCAGTGTTATTCCACGTTACCTGGATTATATTTATATTCAGAAATATAAAGAGATTAGTTAGCATATGTTTGCTCCAGAGGATGATCCACAGTGATGTGCATCCATTGTGTTCTGCAACCGCGCATTGACTGACTTTTCCCAGCGGAAGATCGTCCAGCATGCAGCAGCAGATTATTATATAGGCAACTGTGTACTGTCTGTAATTGGTAAATTATATTTTCTGCTGTATTTAGAAAAAGGGACGACCACTTTATTTGAATAAATAAATAAACAAAATGCAGGTATACGGAGGAACCTCAAATGTCCCAGTTTTACACTAGGACATGAACACAGCTCAAGTTTGCGGATCTCGGCGAAGCTGGCAGTGTGAAGTTTGTCCCAAAATTATACATATTATACACATTTGTAAATCATACCGTACGTGCACTTGCCCTTTTTTAGGTTTCTCTCCATATATAAATAGCGACTGTAAATGTCAGTTTAAATCGTCTTACCTGTAAAACTTGCCGTCTTTACCGGAAGTCAATGTACACACCTTAACGACTGGGCGTGTTTATTTTTTCCAGTGTAACTGAAAAGTTACGTTTCATTCTCCTGTTTTGGGACATCATCTGCTATCTAGTCGGCGACACAGGTAAGTCCCTATTCTGGTGTTTCGCCTCTCTGTTCTTTTTTTTTTTTTAAGTAATATATAGTGTTTTTATACATGGATAACGGATGTATGATTGCTAGAACTTGTGCAAAGATGTGCTGTCTATTTGCTCTCCTGTGGTTTCTGATGTTATAGACCTTAGTGTTACTGTAATTACAGAATGTAACTTTGTTTATACATATACATGCACACACACATATCTATATAAGGGGCATTTGTGTATACAGTAGATTTGTTGATTTGGATAGTGATAGCAGTTAAGTCTAAACGGCTAAGCTATATGGATAATATGGGTAAAAGTACGTGGTAAGAGTCTTCATCTTTGTATTCAGATGTTTTCAGTCTCATTGCTTTTCCTTCCTTCCTGTCACCCACAGAGGAACAACAGAATTACTTACAATTAGATTAAAATGTTAAAAGCTAATAGAAAATGCAAGATTTATCTCATATAAAAAGTGCCACATATAGTGTGGTGCATATATTTGAAAAAAAAAAAACTTTTTTATTTATCTGTGTTGATAGATTAAAATTACAAAATGGAAGAAGGAAGAACTAGCCTGAAGAAAAGAAAGAGAGTCACGGATGAGAAAGATGACAAGAGTAAGTCCTTCGGGTCATTTTACCCTGAAGATCTATTTATTTAAAATATATTTCTGTGTACGCAGTAGAATTTTTCTGAAGCTGTTGATGTTGCAGGCTATAATGAGACATGGCAGTTTTGAGGGTACTTCCTATTCTCTATTGTCCTCCTAGTTGTTAAATGCATATATATGATATATATGCCTAAATGAAACTGCCTTTCTTTTGTTCCTTCAGATAAAGACATGCATAATTACATTAAAATTATCTTATGTGATTGCATGATTTTGGCAGATATGGCAGAATGGCTGACCCTCTCTGTGCCTGGTTCTGCCCGGGTCTTCTTGTTTTTCTTTGCCACTGTCACCAAAGTGCTTGCTCATAAGGGGTTATCTGATTTTTGGGGTTTTCTCTGTATTATTGCAGGGTCTGTACCTGTTGTTGTGATTTGGTGCTATATAAATAAAACTGAATTGAATTATAAATATTTGCATTATCACAACTATTACAATGAAAGTAGGAAATACTCCCACAACTGGCATCTCTCTTTATACAACCTCTACAATTGCAAATTATTAGTACATTGTAAATTGACCATGAAAATACATTTACATTATTTTTTTAATGGAGAAATTACTTCTTCCTTTTTTTTTTGGTGTTGCAAAAAACAGACCTCTGGCGTGTAAAATGTGGAGACAAAAAGGGTTGGATGGATGTAGAGAAGTTGAGAAAAGGTAAGTACAGTCTTACCTTTCTTACCAGTCTTTCCTTTTCTATTTTTGTACATACAGTGAAATATATAAATAAATAAATAAATAAATAAATAAATAATTTTTCATTAAAACGATTACGTTTTTCTTTATAACTATAGGTAAGGATTGTATTGAGTTTGAAGGCTCCTTTTACAGTCCACCTGAGTTTGAGAAGCTTGCAGGAAAAGATTCATGTAGAAAATGGAAGTCATCTATTTACCACAAGAAAGCTCCTCTGCACTATTGGTTCAAGGTACTTTTTTTTTTTTTGCATTTCTGTGAATCTACAAAAATCTGATTTCACTAAATAAACTGTTGAATTAACTTATCACAGAGAGGTTACCTAACCACTACAGGATATAGACAAAAAAAACGACAATCATCAGACCTTGAGTCCCAGGACCTCTTAACAGGTTTGTCTGCTCTTTCTTCTATCTGTGCCTCAAAACCAGAGAATGTTTGAGAATATGAACCAAAAGCATGCAAACATTATTGTAATATTTTTAATAAGCTCTTTCAAAACTTCAGTAATTTTGACAAATACCCTACAGAAGTTGAGAAAAAAAGAGTTGCAATTCTCTTTATCTCGGCCTCCAACTTTCCCTCATCCAACGCCTGCAACTTGTCCAAAATGCTGCAGCACGTTTTTTAAGCGGCACCAGAAAACCTGATCATATTACACCTGTCTAAGCCAACCTTCACTGGCAAATACCGTATTGTTTTTGAAATCCTTTTGTACACTTTTAAATTTTAAATAACTTGGCGCCCAGCTACTTAATCGACCTCCTTGACCTATATACCCCCAAGAGAGCACTTAGATCCTCTAATCAATGGCTCTTAGTGCAACCAATGTCCAGATGGAAGACTAGGGAGCATTGTGCTTTTGCTATTGCTCCACCTAAACTTTGGAATATTCTGGCGATTGATGTCCGTCCATCGGAATTCATTCAATATTTCAAGTCACGTTTAAAAATCCACCTGTTTAAGCTAGCCTTCGAAACAAATTAAATTTTAACTTCTACCCGTATCAAGTTTGTGCCACGCCACTTACCTTTAACTATTCCGTAATGATAACTGTATTTTTTTTTGTTCTTCTATTGTTGTAATCCCGCAATACGGCACTTGTGTGAAAATTGAATTGAAACTGAGAAAAAGTTACAAAAATCTCAGTTTACGTTGTTATATTTTAAACATTTCTATTTCTTGAAAGAATATTACAAGGAAGTTCATAATGAAGATGTCATGGTCCGGAGTCTGTGACTCCGTGTTTATGTTTTAGTTCATTATTATTCTGTGGTTTTGGGTACCTTGGGTGGTACTCTTCTGTTTCATGGTTCATGTTCCTATGTTCTGTGTCCCCCAGTCTGTGTTAAGTTGGTGTGTTATGTCATTACATGTATGTGTTTCCTGTTTTACTTTGAAGGTCCGTGTCTGATCTCAGTGTGTTCAGGTTACTTTTCCCCTGTCTTGTCAGGTCGAATTACTCCCAGCTGTGCCCTCCTTTTGTGTCTCATTCCCTCGTTATCCTTCTGTGTATTTAAACCTCGTGTCTGCCTCTGTTAGTTGCTGGTTTGTCTGTGTTGTTCCCCTCGGTCTTCCTGCGTCTCGCCGTCCGTCTCTCTGTGTATTTCCCCATACCTCCCTGCATCTTCGTTCTGGTTTGTTTTGTTAGTTTTGCCCAGTTTAGGTTTTCCAGTTTAATGTTCACCTGCCACTTCTGTTTGTATCTACTCCTGTTCAATAAATACTCACCTGCATCAGAGCTGCTGCATTTTGGGTCCCATCTTCAACTCCACACGTCCGCCACCCCGGACACGACAGAAAATGAGGATGGAGAAGAGGATGATGAGGATATGGATGAAGATGATGTATGGGCAGATAAATGGGAAGATAAAGAAGCTACACAGATTTCTATCTCTTCTTCTGAAGAAGAGAGTGCGGAAGATCATGTTAAAGATATAGATGACGATGGAGAAGAGGAAGATGAGGATATAGATGCAGTTGATGTCAGTAACGATGAGCCTAGCACTGAGGAAGATGAGGATGAAGAAGATGATAATGATGAGGATGAGACTGTGCCTGCTGTTGCCTCTAACCATACTGGCAGCAGTGGTATCAAAGGTGACATTTCCAATATATTTCCTATTGGTATGTTTGGATAACAAAGACCTTGTTTGTGTATGAAAATAACTCTTCCTCTTTTTTCAGCAAGTGTAACACCTATGATGAAAGAAGTAAAGGGTATTGTTAACATCCCTCCTGAGGCAAGACAGATTATTTTATTTAAATGATTCACTGTGCTTTACATTGCTGGAAGTTTTGAATATGTCACTGATCTGAGATTACTCTACACCAGCACCGTCATTAAGCTAGAAATGTGGCAAATACTATGGTTCAGCATGACATACAAAATTACAAATGTATGCTTTACCCCATCCAGTCCAATTATTCATAATAAATACTAAAATATTCTTCATTGTTTTTAAAACAGAAGAGTACACATCATCCTGACATGCCAAGATCTGAAGTCATTGGAAATAACAGAGATGTGGCAAAAAACACAGCAATCAAACAGCTGAATGTTAAGAAAGAACCTGAAGAGAAACTGAGTGAGTTATTCAAACACTAAAAGCACTTGATTTACATTTTTACATTTACAAATGTTTTAGCACATGTGTCCACACAGATAACTACTATAGTAGTTTTGTTTGCAGTTTGAATAAGTATTATTTACTTTCCAAAAGACACTAAACAGCCATTTTATTTGGTACACCTGTCCCATCCATCCATCCATCCATCCATCCATCCATCCATCTTCTTCCACTTATCCGGGGCGGGGTCACAGGGGCAGCAGCCCAAGCAGAGAAGCCCAGACCTTCCTCTCCCCAGCCTCCTCCAGCTTGTCCAAGAGAACACCAAGGCTTTCCCAGGCCAGCCAAGAGATATAATCTCTCCAATGTGTCCTGGGTTTGCCCCGGGGCCTCCTCCTGGTGGAACATGGCCGGAACACCTCACCCGTCTAGGAGGCATCTTTGTCAGACGCATGAACCACCTCAGCTGGCTCCTTTCGATGTGAAGGCGCAGCTGCTCTACTCTTAGACTCTCTTTCGTAGCCTTCTGCTACTTGGCTGTACCTAGAAATTCTGTCCATAAAAATTACAAACAGAATCAGTGACATCACCCTCAGGAACGAGTCCAACTTATTACCGGCTATGCGGACAAACCTCTTGCAACGGTTGTATCAGGATTGAATGGCAGGTAGCAATGGGCCAGACACCCCATATTCCCGGAGTACCCCCCACAGGTTACACAGAGGGATATGGTCGAATGCCTTCTCCAAGTCCACAAAACACATGTAGACTGGTTGGGCAAACTCCCATGCACCCTCAAGTATCCTTGAGAGGATAAATAGCAGATCCAGTGTTCCACAACCAGAACAAAAATAGCATTGTTCCTCCTGTATCCAAGGTTAGACTAAAGGACAAACTCTCCTTCCAGCACCCTGGCAGAGAGCTTCCCAGGTAGGCTGAGGACTGTGATCCCCCTATAGTTGGAGCACACCTTCCAGTTCCCTTTCTTAAAGATGGGAACCAACTCGGTCTGCCAGTCCAGGGGTACTGCCCCTGATCTTCATGCAAAATTGTAGAGGCATGTCATCTACAACATCCAGAGCCTTCAGTAACGCGTGGCAGACCTCGACCACCCTAGGGGCTCTGCCACCAAGGAGCTTTTTGACTTCCTCAGTGACCTCGCCCCCGGACATTGGCAACTTCGAGGAAGTCCTCGAAGTATTCCTTCCACCGCCCGACAATTTTCACAGTCGAAGTCAGCAGTGCTCCACCTGCACTATACACACTGTGGGTAGAGCACCACTTTCCCCCCCTAAGTGACCTGACGGTTTGCCAGAAACTGTTCGAGGCGGTCTGAAAGTCTTTTTCCATGGCCTCTCCGAACTCCTCCCAGACCCAAGTTTTTGCTTCAGCTACTGCCTGCACTGCATTCCGCTTGGCCTGTCGGTACCTGTCAGCTGCCTCCGGGGTCCCACAGGCTAACCAAGCCCGATAGGACTCCTTCTTCAGCCTGGTGGCTCCCTTCACCTCTGTTGTCCACTGTTTGGTTCGGGGGTTACCACCACAACAGGCACCAACCACATGGCGGCCACAACTCACTGCAGCGGCTTTGGCTGTGGAGATGCTGAACATGGTCCATTCGGACTCAATGTCCCCAGTCTCCCTTGGAATGCTGTTGAAGCTCTGCCAGAGATGTGCGTTGAAGATCTCACGGACCTGGGCCTCTCCTAGACGTTCCCAGCACACCCTCACTATACGTTTAGGTGTGCCAGGTCCGAGTGTCCAGAACATATGGCATTAGGTCTGGTGATACGATTACAAAATCGATCATCGACCTGCGGCTTAGAGCATCCTGGTGCCATACTTATGGACACTCTTATGTTTGAACATGGTGTTCATTATGACCAAACTGTGGTTTGCACAGGAGTCCAACCTCAAAACACTGCTCGGGTTCAGATCCAGGAGGCCGTTCCTCCCAGTCACGCTCCTCCAGGTCTCTCTGTCGTTGCCCACGTGAGCATTGAAGTCTCCCAGTAGGACAACAGCTGTCCAGTTGCTCATTAATGAAAATATCTAATCAGCCAATCACATGACAGCAACTCATTGAAGACATGGAGACATGGAGACATGGACCAGATGATCTGCTGAAGATCAGACTGAACATCAAACTAATTCTAATAATCCCAAAGGGCACATGCTCATATTTTAATTACTTTTCTTTTTTCAGAGAAGACAACAACAAGCACAATTTCAATACCTGGGAAACTTGCCCCGAAGATTAAAGAAGCTTATGGTATCGTTAATAGCCTTCCTGAGGTAAGATGGAGGAAGTTTCTTCAAAATATTTTACAGCACGTTACAGTGCTGGTAGTTTCCACCCTCATGAAAATACAGCTGATTCAAAATTACTTTTATCTTTTAATCCAGCATTGTCCTTTTTTTTTTTTCTTTTTTTTTTGGCCTGTCCCCAGCCTTGCCGTATTGGTCTATTTGATTCACCTTTGCTTTTATTGTTTATTTTATTTTATTTTCACTTGCTAAACACGGGACAGACTTGACTGGGGGAAAAAAAAAGGGGAGAAAGAAAGAGGGAAAGAAAAACAGCGGGGAAGAGGAACAGAGATAAAGGGCAAAAAACAAAAACCAACAAAATAAGCAGACAAAAAACACATATCAATCACCTGGATCACCTGTTGAGAAAGGAAAAAGAGAAAACAAGCAAAAAAAAAGTGCAATATAATAAACAACATCATCGCAATGATCTATGTGAATATAACAGTAAATACTAAATATTAGTACTAAATTATTATTAAACGTTATTGTGCAGCACGTAGGATCGACAGCACACAGTGTGCTTTGAGGTAGGAGCCAAAAGGGGTGTAGTTTGTGTGTGTGATCACCCGTGTGTACACCTGTGAGCATGAGCGCGCTTCTATGTAACAGGTTCCTTCATGTAATGATCTGCTAGAGGGTGTGGGGGGGCCACAGCCCCGTCCTCCAGGGTATGAAGCAGGTATGGAGGAGATCAAGACTCCAGACATCCAGAGGCCCCCAGAACACAAGAGACCAAGGAAGACCAACAGAGGGGCAGCTGCGCCACTGTCCCCGAACGAGCTGAGGAGAGCCCCAGATGAGGGGTCACTCAGCAGCCGTGGCGCAGAAGCCAGGGGGGGTTGCAGTGACGTGCCCGTGAGCTCCGCCGGCAGCCAGCTGCGCCAGAGCGACCGAGCCCCAGGCCGAGAGGCCGAGGGCACCCCACCCCCGAAGGGGCCCAAGTGAGCCCCAGGCTCCAGGCCCCTACAAGCAGCCACCAGGAGTGAGCCGGTGCGTACCTGGATGCCAATCTCCGGGCACAAAGAAGCACCAATGCACCGATGTCTGAGGGCATCTGCCACTGGTCTGAGATGTCCCTAGAGAGGTGGCGTCAGATACCCAACCTGACATATAGACACAAACAAACAGGCACACACAGATACAAACATCCATTCCCACCCTCATGCTCTCATATGCAATTACTCAGCACTCACCCAACGTGGAGACAGACATAAATAGACACTGTACACACAATCACACTCCCCAAGCGTACTCTAAGCCCCAGATCTAGGTACCCTTGCCCCTGGAGGGGGAAACTGCGCCCAGACCCAGGTAGTGTTACCTTTTTCCCTGGGGTGGAGAGAAGCAGGAATAGTTCTCCAGGCTTTTTGAAGGACATTCAAAGCTCTTCTTTGGATGTTGGCTGCCTTCTGTTCTGTTCTCTGACAAGATGATCCCACACTGCTTCACTAATGTTGAGGTCAAAGCTGTGGGGCGGCCAATCCATGACGGACAGTGTTCCATTGTGTGTTAAAGATATTTCTAATTTATTTTCAACCAATGCCTCACACTTGAACATGTGTTTCAAACGGATCTTGTTTAAAATTGCTTTCAAAATAAAACTGTCCAACTTGAGGTGAATGTTTTTATGGTTTGGTGCTATATGAATACAAATTGATTAAATTGAATTTTGCTCAAAATGATTTTCATAATAAAACCGCATATTATTTTCCTGATCTACTTTTACTCCATCCAAACTTACCTTTCAAAAGAAATTATAAATAAGGGTACTAATATATAATTGACTATCTTTGCACCAGAAGACTAGACATCATCCTGACACGACAAGATCTGAAGTCAGTGGAAATAACAGAGATGTGGCAACAAACACAGCAATCAAACAGCTGAATGTTAAGAAAGAACCCCAAGAGGAACTGAGTGAGTTGTTCAAACACTAAAAGCACTTGAATGTTGAAATTCTATTTTGTGCATTTTTTGTAGAAGTAGTAGAAATCCGGTTGCAATCTATTTTCTTTGCTCTCTTTCTATTGTCTGCTGTTCCTTCTATCATAACCCAAAACCAGAGAACTTTGGAAAATATTAATCAAAAGCATGCAAACATTGTAGTATTATTTTTAATCAGTTGTTTTAAAACCTTTAAAAAATATACCAAGGAAGTTCAGAAAAAGGAGTATGCATTAGCTCAGAACTAGTTATGAAAATCTTAGTGTACATGGTAATATTTTAAACATTTATATCCCTTTTGTACAAGAACACAAGGAAGATCGTGTTAAAGATCAAGATGAAGAACAAGAAGATGAGCATATGGATGAAGATGTTGTTGGTGATGATGAGCCTAGCACTGAGGAAGATGAGGATGAAGAAAGTGATAATGATGAGGAAGAGACTGTGCCTGCTGTTGCCTCTAACCATACTGGCAGCAATGGTATCAAAGGTGACATTTCCAATATATTTCTTATTGGTATGTTTGGATAACAAAGACCTTGTTTGTGTATGAAAATAACTCTTCCTCTTTTTTCAGACAGAGTAACAAGTGCAATTCCAACACCTGGAAAACATGCATTACAGATGAAAGAAGTAAAGGGTATGGTTAACATCCCTCCTGAGGCAAGACAGATTATTTTATTTTAATATTTTACTGTACTTTACATTGCTGGATGTTTTGAATATGTCACTGATCTGAGATTACTCTATACAAGCACCGTCATTAAGCTAGAAATGTGGCAAATACTATGGTTCAGCATGACATACAAAACAAATTCCAAATGTAAGCTTTTACCCAATACAGTCCAATTATTCACAATAAATATTAAAATATCCTTCATTGTTTTTAAAACAGAAGAGTACACATCATCCTGACATGCCAAGATCTGAAGTCAGTGGAAATAACAGAGATGTGGCACAAAACACAGCAATCAAACAGCTGAATGTTAAGAAAGAACCTGAAGAGAAACTGAGTGAGTTGTTCAAACACTAAAAGCACTTGAATATTGTGTTGAGCTTCTATTTTGTGTACTTTTTGTTGAAGTAGAAGAAAAACAGTTTCAGTCTATTTTCTACAAGTTTCAAGGTTGTCCTTTAAGAGCTTTTCTTACTTTATGTCAGCATTTACAAATATTTTAGTACATTTCGGGCATTCGTGGCTCAAGAGTTGGCAGTTCGTCTTGTAATCAGACAGTCTTGGTCGTTGTGTCCTTGGGCAAGACACTTCACCTACCACCTACTGGTGATGGCTAGAGGGGCTGATAGTGCGATATGGCAGCCTCGCTTCTGTCAGTCTGCTCCAGGGCAGCTGTGGCTACAACTGTAGCTGCCTCCACCAGTGTGTGAATGCGAGAGTGACTGAATAGTGGAATTGTAAAGCGCTTTGAGGGCCCCTAAAAGCAGAATATAAATGCAATATATTATTATTATTATTATTATTATTATTATTATTATTATATGTGCGCACAGCTAACTACTATAGTAGTTTTGTTAGCTGTTTGAATAAATATTATTTCCCAATGTCTTTGTATTCAAAACAGATCAGGTGTGTTCTGTAATGAATAGTTGTACTTTTCAAAAGATATTATCCAGCCATGTTTTTAAATTTTTTCTGGTATACCTGTCCAACTGCTCATTAATGAAAATATCTAATCAGCCAATCACATGACAGCAACTCAATACATACATGGAGACATGGACAAGATGACCTGCTGAAAATCAGACTGAACATCAACATGAATCTAATTCTAAAAATCCCAAAGTGCACATGCTCATGTTTTAATCACTTTTCTTCTTTCAGAGAAGACAACAACCAGCACAATTTCAACACCTGGGAAACCTGCAGTGAATATCAAAGAAGTAAAGGGTGTCGTTAATAGCCTTCCTGAGGTAAGACTGTATTTTATTAAAAACTTACCATTCAAAATAAAGATAATTAAAACACTCCTGTCATTAAATCACTTGCTCATATGGGATTGTCTAATTGTTGGTGTTTTCTGTGTATTATTGTAGGGTCTGTACAATATAAAGCACATTGAGCCGACTGTTTTCATAGTTTGGTGCTATATAAATAAAATTGGATTAAACTGAATCTTGCTCAAAATGATTTTCATAATAAAACTGCATATTATTTTCCTGTTTTGTTTTTCTCTGCAAGCTTACCATTCAAAAGAAATAATAAATAAGGATACTAATATATTCTTGGTTGTCTTTGAAACAGAAAGCTAGAGATCATCCTGACACGACAAGATCTGAAGTCAATGGAAATTCCAGAGATGTTGCAAAAAACACAGCAATCAAACAGCAAAATGTTAAGAAAGAACCCAACAAGGAACTCAGTGAGTTCTTCAAACACTAAAAATTCTGCATTTGTGTTTTGTTGTTGTTGTTGTTGTTTTGTGCCTATGAATTTATCAATTTTTGTAGTGGAGAAGGTAAAAATCCAATTTAAAAATTGGAAATCTGTAAATTGAAAATCTGTAAATCTGAAATTTACTATGCTGGTGGGGACTAAAATCCTGGTCCCCACAGGGCTGAAGGCCTTTTTCACACTCAAAATGTGGTTTTAGTGTCAGGGTTACAATTGGGTTGTGGTTAGGTTTAGGGTTAGGCATTCATTTTTGATTGTTAGAGTAAGCAGCTAGGGAAAGCCTTATGTCAATGGGATGTCCCCATGAGGATAGCAAACCAGAGATGGCAGGGCCTGAAAATGAAAGAGAAATTGTAAATTCAGGATCTGATGTCAGTGGAAACCAGTGGTGGCCTCAAACACAGTAATCAAAAAGCAAGAGAAGCAAAAAAAAACCTGTGTGTTTCTTTTTTTTAATTTTTTATATGTTTTCTGAACCCCGGGCTGTGTCAGATGACCATCAACATACAGAGGTGCACTTCTCTGGCCACAGTGTAACTGAAGTACAATCCATGAGACCAGAGATGAGGTAAGATGTAGCTGTCATATCATTTAGGCAAAGATTTATCATTCATTCACTGTATTAAAAGTTTTTTTTAACTGCATTTATTTCTGCAAAAACAGCTCTACTTGAAATAAGCCCAGTATTCCTAAATGTGACAAAACTGTCTTGTTTTGAGAAAAAAAATCTGCCATTAAGGTAAGTAAAAGTTGCTTGGCTAGAATCCTTAATCACGTGTCTTCCTTTGTTCAAGATGTAGAAAGAAAAAGAGATCAGTTTGCGTCATACTGGTGCTTTAGCCGAGCTGTTGGCTATTGCAGTTTATAGGGCTTGTTTCAGATGTTTGAAGATTGAAGACATTTTCTATCTATCATGCATCTAACTGATTTATACCTTTAAATTAGACAAAACTGTCTAAAATTTAGGATTAATTTAAGAAAATGTGACTTATTTCAAGGAAAGACACCCTGACAACCTTATTAAGACATCCTTATTAAAAAAAAATCTTTACCTATAATGAGTATTATGCTTTCTTCAACAAGCTGTTTTCAGAAATTATTTCCTTACTTTAGTGTTTAATTGTGTTTAATTGTGTTTAATTTATTACAGGCCATTACAGGCCTTTCCATACTCTTGAAATAAGAAAGATAATGTTATTCTTCCAGAATAAGAACGATTATTTTTCTTATTTCAAGAATCAGAACCACGATCAGAATTGAGTAAGGTTAGATTAATTTGCTAGTTTTAATGACCTTAGCCAAACAACTTTAACTTACGCCATTGGCAGATTTTTTTTCTCAAAACAAGACAATTTTGTCAGATTTAAGAAAATCTGGCTTATTTTAAGTAGAGCTGTTTTTGCAGTGTAGCCTGTAACTGGTAAATAAAGCTCAAGATGAGCTGAAATATTTTATTAAGAAAAAGTTAGACATATTTTCCTAGAATTAGCTTAATTTTCTTGTGCAAAACTTGCTTGTTAAGAATATGTTTTCTTTCAAGACAAAAAATATGAAAAAAAAATTCCATAAACAAGCATTTTTTTACTCGCAGTGCAGACATGTCAGAGGCCCCATCACCTGGGCCCTCAGCCAGCTCTGGTTTGGATCTTGATCAACTGAAGAGGGAAAAAGTAAAAATGGAACTAAAGGTTTTAAAATTAAAAGAATACTATTATGCTTTGAAAATAAAAGAACTTAAAAAATGAGGATTAATGCTTCTGTAAAGCTGACATTGCAGAGAATAAATTAAACGATCGCTGTGTTTACATCCACAAACTGACACACATTATCTGGAGGTTTCTTGGGTGGAATGTTGCTTTTGAGAAAAGCTGCAAAGTCAAGTGTGCTGCATTTATACACCGTACTTTTTCTTTGCTATACTCAGGTTTCCTTTAGTATTGTTGATTACAGTGTTTTACTTTGTTTCTGTGATGGAATAGATAGATGGTATTTTCTTCTGTAAAATGTGAATAAACAATATTGATGCTTTTTATCTGTAAATTGCGCTAAATGTTATGAAACTGTGTTTCCTTTAGACTTTGCCCAAGCTGCAGTAATCATTGTAAGACATAGCCTGTAAACAGCATCATGCAATGTCTTGAACCACTGCTCATTTCTTTATATTTTGCATAAGGAGCAAGAGATTTTAGAAATTTGTAAGACAAAAGCAATAGATTAGACAAAAATATTTTCATGGAAATTTGTTCAACCATAATGAGAAAATACAAAATGAAAAAAGGAGAGTTTCAGTGCTGTGTGTGTTATCTTTGGCATTTTTCTTTTCTTTTTTTATTCAAAACCTAAATATAGTTAGGTATATATAGACTAGATTCAATTGATTTATGTGAAATAACTCAAGAAGAAAAAGTTATCAGGCTATATTTAATTATCCTATAGGCTCTAATTCTTAATTGACATTCAGGTCCACACTCCATGCCAGTTGGTGGCATTAATGAACCAACTAGCTTTTTGACAACCACGGACAAACACCAAGAAGGTTTTTTTTTTCTTGGGGGAAAAAGGTCAACTTAAAAAAATCTCTCATGTCTTTTGAAGAGTAAACTTTAAAAGTAAGTACTGAGTTTTATCTCATTTATTTATGTAGCAATACAAATGTTCCAATATCTTTTTTTTTTTTCTTTTTTTGTTGCCTGACCCGTCTGGTTCTTTAGCCATCAGAATTATTGTCTGAAGGCCAAGAAAGATGCCCAACGGATTTACTTTACCAAGTGGATCATCACAGCCTTGCTATATTGGTCCATTCAAGGGGCAATCCTCAAGAGTTGCCCCTTTAATCCTAAGGGAATCCTAAGGGAATCCTAAACACTTCACCCGTTGCTTACTGGTGGTGGTCAGAGGACCCGGTGGCGCCAGTGTCCGGCAGCCTCGCCTCTGTCAGTGCGCCCCAGGGCAGCTGTGGCTACAATGTAGCTTGCCATCACCAGTGTGTGAATGGGTGGAAGACTGAATTTAGTGTAAAGCGCTTTGGGGTCCTTAGGGACTAGTAAAAGCACTATACAAATACAGGCCACTGACCTTTGTTATTATTATTTATTTATTCTATTTTCAGTTTTTACAGACAGGACAGACATGACTGGGGGGCAGGAAAGGGAGAAGGAAAGAAAGAGAGGGAGGGAAAGAAAAACAGGGGAAGAGGGACAGTGAGAAAGTGCACTTAAAAAAATCACCTGTTGAGAGCAGAAAAAAGAAAAAAAGAGAAAACAAGGGAAAAAGAGAGCAACATAATAAACACAACACCATCGCAATAATCTAGCTACGTGTAAATAACAGTAAATACTAAATATCGAATGTTATTATCCAGCATGCAAGGCCGACAGCGCACAATGTTCTTTGAGGTAGCAGTCAAGAAAGGTGCAAATTGTGTCTGTGAACAGTAAACACCCGTGTGTACACCTGTGTTGATGAGCGCGCTTGTATTCAAAAGGTTTTTTCCATGTAACGATCTGCTAGAGGGTGTGGGGAACCATAGCCCGTGCCCCAGGGCATGAAGCAAGCATGGAGGAGATCCAGGCCCCAGACATCCAGAGGCACCCAGAGTGCGAGAGCCCAGCGGAAGGGCATCCATGCCAGCCAGCTGCGCCAGGTGGACGAGCCCCAGGCCCGGAGGCCCGAGGTTCGAGGGCCCCCACCCCCCAGAAGGGGCCCAATCAAGCCACGGGTTCCAGGTACCGCCAAGCAGCCTCTGCAAGTGAGCCGGTACATACCTGAGCGCCTAGCCCCGGACACCAAGAATCACCAATGCACCGACGTCTGAGGGCATCAGCCACTGGCAGGGAGTGTGGTGAGGGGAGTTAGGCCTCCATACTTTGGAGGGCCTGAGATGTTCCCAGAGAAGTGGAGTCTGAGATCCAACCTGACATATAGACACAGACGAACAGGCACACACAGACACAAACATGCATTCCCACCCTCATGCACACATATACAAGTACTCTGCACTCACCCAACGCGGAGACAGAAACAAATGAACACTGTGCACACAATCACACTCCCCAAATGTACTCTATACCCCAGGTCCAGGTACCCTTGCCCACACCTAGACCCAGGAGATGTTACCCTTTTCCCTGGGGTGGAGACAAGCACACCGTCCCCGGCTCCGCAGTAGCAGAAAGGCCCTGCATCCCAGACCCCAATCGAATGGCCAACTCCTCCTCCCAGCCCCTCCACCACAATAGCTAACAGAGAACGGGGGTGTGTGAAGACCCCATACCTCCCTCCGCCCGCTGATATGTAGTGTTGCTGCATGCTGTTCTAAAGTGCATTTAAAACACGGGAGGGCATGGTGCTTCCTGCCAGAGAGCAGCAGGTGTCAGCACAGCCCTTCCCAAGAAACCTCAATGTTTACATGTATTTAAAATTGAGAGGTGGGCACCGGCGCCAGAGGTGAGGCTGACTACACAGACTGTCCTCTGGATGGCGTATAATATGCCCACCCCCAAGGCCCTACATGTATGTGTTATGAGAGTGTGAGTAATGTGGATGTCTAGGTTGTGGAATAAAATTGAGGCACAGGTGGCCAGAAGGAGACAGAAGGGAATCCAACACTGGCATGATGTGTTTTTTTTTTTCTTTCTTTTGCTTGAATGATTCATAGTCAGTTATAAGTGGCCTAATAATCTAAAAAAATTAAAAGACTTAGAAAGACCTTAAGGAATCCCAGAGAAAAAAAGACATGCAACTTTTGCACAGTACTGTGTGGTCAGCTACAGAAGGACTGGACTGATAAGAGTGAGGCTAAGATTTAAAAGAAAAAAAAAGAAAAGAAAATCTGCCTCCTTAGAACCAAAACATGAAAAATGACACGTGACTCAAGATTTTTGCACAGTACTGCAATTGTGCACATTGTACACATGTGCAATTTTAAAATTAACTGTAATTTTATTAGGTTCTTAGTACTATGACTTCACAATAACATGTATAAATGTCAGTGGCTGTAATGTGATATGGAGAAATAAAAGAAACAAAATAAATTTTGAGAATAATTTATTTTAACTTAATCAGAACGCAGCTGTTATTGATTGTGAGGCTTTATCTGTCTTTCTAATGCGCATGTGAGATAAACAGACCTTGACAATGAAGCTAAGGCTGACACTACAGAACCCCCCTGGTGGTTGTTTGAACATAAGCTCTGGCTTGTGGGTGTAGAAAAGCAGAAACTCTTCGGGTGTCTCAGTAAGGTAGTGGGAGTTACTAGTTTCATTTTTACTGCTTTGGGAATCATCAGCTGCCTGTGGACATAACTGAGGTAATTATTCTTTTTGTTTGTTTTGCTTGGATTGATGATAAACACTATGTACTTAAGCAATCCGTGAATAGCTAAAGTCATAGCTAGTGTTGGGAAGGTTACTTTTAAAATGTATTCCATTACAAAATTAACTTTGACTTTCGCCCTCACGTCTCAGCTTGGCCACCTGGAGCCTGTTGTCTCTTGGATCTCTGCTCAGTAGCGAATCTGTTGCCGCAAAGCAACTAAGTTATGGATAATAAGAAGACTAATATCAGTATAACATAAATACAATCAGTGGTTAAATTTCGTAATAGCAATTTCTGCAGTAAAAGAATCATTAATGCCTGGATCATTTTGGTTAATCATACAAAATTTTATTTTCTGAAAAAGTAAGCTAAGAAAAAATATTTCAACAGGCATATAAAAACACAACAAACCATATATTGTATCCTAACACCACATACAACGTATTAATCTTCACTTTTTTATCATATTCATCAACAAATGCTATTATAAATGCTATGTACACAATGTAAGAACATAATAAAAAGGTTCATACTGGTTGTGCACTGGGATGCAACAGTATGGGCTAATATGTGAAAGCCATGAAGTTCTAAAGAAACAGTGAGTTGTGCAGCAAGTCCTACCTCATGAAGAGCATCCTGTTACTGGCTGTATTGTGTCTACTGTTATGTTGGTATCTTGGGGTAGCAGCTAAATGGCTTTGTGGAATCGGAATCATTTTGATTGTGGTGTCTTATAAGATTTGTCCAATTATTCCAGGAAAAGTACCAGGTCTTTCTAAGAAAAAGAAGTAGATGAGCTTTTACTGTGTTAGTTATTTATCATTCAAATGTGTGACAGATGATATATCGAACTGATTTAATTAACAAAAATAATTTTCACACAAATTTTTCCGTCCATAGTTAGAAAATATAGTCATCTGATATTATCTCATTAATCTCATATTTAATCAGATAACAGAACTGTAAAAATGTATTGCACAAAAGTATTGACCCACCTCTTTTTCTTTATATTAATAAAGAGAGTAAAGATTAGTCTTTATACTACTAGGAAAAAGTAGATGTAAAGATTTGTGGAAATATACATGGAAATACAATACAGAGTTTTAAAATGGCAACGAGTTTGAAAGACAATCAATATTTGGTACGACCACCTTTATTCTTCGACACAGTCTGAACTCTCTTGTGCAGTTTTGTTCTCATTTCTTTAAGTAGTCTTCAGGAATAGATTCTACTCTGGCTGACTTTCACCAGTTTGTGAATTGTCCCACATGGAGCAACAGGACAACTGACCTACTGTATGTTAATTTGAGAGATGCATACAGTGCCACCCCACCCTCACCTTTACTACAGAGCCCTCTCGCCCCAGGAAGGCAGCAGGCCCAGACAAGGTGTGTCCTAGGATGCTAAAGGCGTGTGCTGCTGAACTTGGGGAGCCATTAAAACGAGTCTACAACCTCAGCCTGCGACTGGGGAGCGTGCCCGTCTTCTGGAAGACATCCTGCATCGTCCCAGTCCCCAAAAAGAACCGGCCCAATGAGCTGAATGACTTCCGACCGGTGGCACTGACGTCACATCTTATGAAGACTCTACAGTGGCTCTTCCTCAGCCTCCTCCAACCACAGGTACAACATGCCCAGGACCCAATACAGTTCACCTACAAGGTGGATGTTGGAGTGGAGGATGCCATCCTGTACCTCCTACATAAAGCCCACTCACACCTGGAAAGGGGAAAAGGCACGGTCAGGATCCTGTTTCTTGACTTTTCCAGCGCCTTCAATACAACCCAGCCCTGTCTGCTCCAGGAGACACTAAACAGGATTGTTTAGGTTGTTTGGATCTCTGACTACCTCACAGACAGACCGCAGTACGTCAGGCCACGTCTGACACTGTGGTCAGCAGCACAGGAGCACCACAGGGAACTGTGCTGTCCCCTCTTCTCTTCACCCTGTACACC